GTAAGGTGATCTTGCTCCACGGGGTTTCCCCCTGCCCCAGGCTGGATCTGCTGCGAGACATCCCCTCCAGTTCTCTCTGCTGACGCCCCGCGCGACTCCGCTTTCCCAGCGCCCTCCCGCTGCGGGGTCTCCTCTTCAGTTTGACTCAGGATCTGGTGATCTGCTGGCATGAAAAGGAGACTCCAGACATGGCTACATTGCTCTTTAAAGTACTGACGTGTTCCCTGATACTACAATCCCCCTCCCCCACTCCTGATGACCCCAGGGTAACTTCCCCACCCCAGTCTACCTAAGGTATTTACTATGGTCCCCATCACCTCTGTATCTGAGCACCTCACGCTCTTTAATGCATTTATCCTCACAAGCCCCGGCGAGGCAGGCAGCGCTATTACCCCATTGTACAGATGGGGAAACTGAGGCACAGAGACTAAGGGTATATCTACACGGCAATAAAAGACCCACGGCACAGCTGTGGTTGCCAGGGTCAGCTGACTCGGGCTTGCGGGGCTCAGGCTGTGGGGCTAAAAACTGCAGTGTAGATGGTTAGACTTGGGTTGGTTGCAGCCCAAGTCTGAATCCCCACAAGGAGGTTGGATCTCGGTGCCCAGACTGCAGCCTGAGTCTGAACCTCTACATTACAATTTTTGGCCCTGCAGCCTGAGCCCAGCAAGCCCGAGTCAATTGACCCGGGCTCTGACACTCAGTGGCGTGGATATTTTATTGCCAAGGGTACATTTACTCTGCAATGTAATCTTGGGCTCAAACCCCACTTCCATCTACACACAATTCTGTCTGACTCAGGCCTGGGCCTCAGGACCCCACTGGGGGATGGGTTTGAGCCTGTGGGTCCAGCTGGGACTTGGGCCCAAACTCCATCGTTTCGCAGTGAGGATGCAGCTTGCTAGACCCTCAGACCCTGAGTCAGCCAATCCTATCCCACAATCCCACAGGCCGGTGCTCTTTGACCTTGCTATCCCAAGAGTAGCCAATCAACTCCCAGGAAATGGAAGCAATCCTCCGGTTCAAATACAGCAGCTCAGCGTTGAACCCTTCCATTCTATTCTGACCCCTGAGCGGCAAACACCGTGAACCGCCTCCTGCGTTTGCAATAGCCACCAAGCAGAAGAAATGCTTTGCCGAGCGCGCTGCTCCCAGGAGCACAGCCAGATTTTGGAAAAGCTCTGGTGCGAGGCGAGCAAACAGTTGGGTTTTAGTAAGAGCACCAGGAATGCCCACGCCCACCAGGAGATAGCGAAGAACGGAGTCACTGGACCGGAGACCACTGCCTTTCTCCGCTAGATTAAAGAGACCTTTAGTATCCAGCATTTTCTCCCTGGGATGGGACTTTGTGCACTGTAATCAAGTCACGTCTGGATCTGCTGTTTGTTAAGCTAAACAGACCAGCTCCATCAGTCTCTCACAGTAAAGCATTTTATCCAGCCCTCAAATCATTTTTGTGACTTTTCTCTGCACCCTCTCCAATCGTCCAAAGTCTGTTTAAAATGTGGACACCAGCACTCCAATACCAGTCTCCCCAATGCCGTATACCCAGGTAAATTTACCTCCCTACCTACTCCCTACTCCAAAGCAATTTTTCCAGCCCTCAAATCACTGTTACCTGTGAACTTCCTGCAAATACTCAGACAAGCATTCACTATTCACAGTGGGTGAAATTCACTGCAATGCAGAGGCTCACTCAAGACCCATTGAACTACAAGGACTGAAGGGGGAATTAAGTAGTCCGTAGACCCAGTGCTGGCCCCCTCGCACACACGAAAGCTCCAGAAAAGCGAATGATTGTAGATCAAGCATAATCGCCACTTGGGATCCTCCAGAAATAATCCAAACACTTTCCGCCCCCCTCTAGTTCTGATTATTCATTACCTTTGCAGGCACCTCTTTGATTCAGCCATTCGCTGGGGTCCGGGAGAATTGAGACACGGGGTTCTTCCCTGCATTCCATGCGAGAGATGGTGTCAGGATTAGGATCACCTGCAAAGGAGGGTGGGAGAAAATAGGAGGTGCTGTGACTTGTTAAATAGCTGCAGAGCAGTGGCTTATTTATTTAGACTGAAAATAATAAAGATGCCTATTGAAGGCAGAGCTGGCTGACAAAACGGATTTTTTGGTTCTCTGGCCATTCTAAACAATAAATAAATTCCGTTTTGGTTGAACACTTTTTTCAAAATGTTTGACAAACTTGAAAATACAATCACTGCAGGTTGAACAAAGTGGGGGTTTTTTCAAGCATTTTTTAATGTTTTTGATTGCATGAATAAAATTCAAGAAAACGTGGATAAATTGAAACCTTTTGTTTTGAAAAGGTCAAAAGGAAATGTTTTGATTTATTCTGAATTTTTTTAGGGGGTGCCTTTTTTTTTGACAGAAACAATTTGGCAAAATCAACACAAAATTGTGAAAAGTTTTGGTGCCGCCAATTCTGCATTTTTCACCAGAAATTGGCTGAAAAATTCACCCAACTCTACCAGAAGGCTCTAGGCGCCTTAATATAATTAATTGTATAATAAAAACAGTTAAATGAAAACCTCACCAGTGTTTAAATAATCCATTCTACAGAAACTGGGCCAGCCAGCCACCTTCCCCCTTTGTCATCCAGATCTATCCATTGGCTCTCAGCCTTTGCTATACTACAACCCACCTTACCACCGCCTTTTTCACCGGGATCCTGCAGTTTCTGCAGCACCTTCCACCGGAGCATCTCAAAGCGTTTATCAATCCTGCCCCACTGATCCCACACCACCACCCAGTGTGAGGGCGACGTTACCATCCCTGCGTGGCTGGTGGGGAAACTGAGGCACGGAAAGACTGGATGGAGGGAACGACAGGGCTGAAAGCTGCACAGCCCGCCCCCACGTGTTCTCTCTTCTTCAGACAGCTGGCCCTCCTCCTATATCCTTCCCCCAGCTGCCACCCAGGCGCCTGATCCCGTTGCTCTCTGGCTGCTTCCTCCAGGCAGCAGTCTCCCCTCTTCCTTTGCTTTCCCCCTCCCCTAGGGCTGCCTTCCCCCTGGATCGGATCCTCTCCGCCCCACTCACCGCTCCTGCTGGGGGATGCTTGAGTGTCTTGGGCTCTCCGGGCAGAGGGGCTGCCGGCGGCAGAGCTCAGGCACCACCAGGATTCAAGCAACAGGAAGGTCCTTGCTGCATTAAATCCCCTCCTGCCCTGCACTATATTTCCTCATCCCCACCGGGAGAGCTGGAGGATCTGAGACCTCTATGGGTTTAATCCTTTAATAGGGTGAAAACCCTTCTAGGGCGAAACTGACCATCCCATGCAGTGGCCAGTGCACCTGTCCCATCCTTCTGCACCTAACCCCTAGAGCAGGTGGGGTGGTGGGGGAAATACAATGGCCAGATTGGAGGATCTAATGGTCCCTGCTGCCTTTAAGCTATGAAACCTGGATCCGTTGGGGGCAGGAGGTCAGGGTCTATGCCAGCCTCCCAACCCAGGCACCTGTTTCTGTTTGCCAGTCCGAAACTTTAAACGCATAGACACGGGAAGCTAAAGGGAAAGCCTTTCACGTGCAGCAAGGGAGATTTAGGCTAAATATCAGGAAAAACGGTCTGAGTATAAGCGGCGATTTTGGAACTCTTATTATTCTCCTTCAAGCAACATATTTTTTCCTGAAACCCGACTGTGAAAAACCCAAATACTGTTACATTTTTTTTTAACCCACAATCTTTCCTTTATTGGCATTTTGATGGGATTTGTATGGCATTATCAGCTCCTGCAATTTTGTCCCAGGCATCGTGATATTTGGTGGTTTTCTTAAAGCCCCAGCTCCTGGAGTCCTGTTATTATGGGAGACTCCCCGCTTTTTTTTTTTAAGGTACGTTTCTAGTCCTGAGGGTTGCAGAGAAAAGCTGGAAAACAAGATGCCTAAAGGCTCTGACTCCAGGAGGCAAATAAAAGAACCTGCCAAAAAAAAAAAGTAATCTCATGATTTTTCAGGCCTGAACCATGATTTTTGAACACGTGGATTTGGCAGTGCTGATTTCGCAAAACAGAGACTTATCCTGTGCTTAAAGTGATCTGAAAAAAGGGTGGGGAGTTCTAGCTGGACCTACGAGAAGCTGACCTGTCAGACAGTGCTTAAAGCGTGCCCCTTAGTGACCTGGTTTGGGGTCTGTGACCCTACCCACACACATACCTTAACCACTGTGTTTAACGCTCCTGTGAAGCAGAACCCTCTACTTCAAGCTTGAAAGGAAGGATGGCGTGGTAGTTAGAGTAGTCGCTTAGGCCTGGGAAGACCTGCGATCAATTCCCCACTCTGCCATAGACGCCCTGTGTGACCTTGAGCAAGTCCCTTAGCCTCTCTGTGCCTCCATTTCCCCATCTGTAAAACAGCAACAATAGCCATGCATTCCAGAGGGGGTGGGAAGCTCATTGCAGATTGTGCCGTGCCCCGATACTATGCTGATGGGGGCCAATACCAATATCTGAGTTAGAAACTGATCTCACAAGCCCTTATGCGTGTGCTTAACTTTGTGACAATGAGTTGTGGTATTAAACTTGACCACAATTAGGCTGCTGGTTTGCTGAGCAGCGTTGTCTCCTTGCATTCCCTCATCTGGTGTCTCTTGTCTTAATACTTAGATGGGCAGAGACCATCTTTTTGTTCTGTGTTTGTACAGCGCCTTGCACAGTGGGGTCGTGGCCCACGACTGGGCCTTCTACGCACTACCATAATACACCTAATAAATAATGGACAGTGCCCAGCGTAATGTGGCCTTGGTTCCTGACCAGGACTCCTAGGTGCTGCCATAATACACCTAATACCTAGTGCAGTGGGATCCTGGCCCATGACTGGGGCTCCTACACACTATGGTAATACAAATAATAAAAAAGAACAAATCAATAAAAAGAAGTTCTTTGCAGGTTGAGGCCTTAATTATCCTATTGCTACCACCTGCACCATAATATATTTCTAGGATAAAGTGTTTCAAGCATTATTTTATTTGCACATGGAAATGATTCGGTCAGATTTAGAGCCATCTTTTAAAAAATCCCCAGTGTTTTGAGTGTTGTTGTTTTTTTCTGGTGGGAAAAGGGTTTTACCTCCACTCCCTCGCCGCTAACAACCCCCTGCCCCACCTTCGCTAAATCTTCCCTAAGAAATTCACCCTTGGGCCAACCCCTGCCCTGGCAAAGGTGTGTGCGCATTCTGAGCAACCGGAATAGGGAGTTTCAGTGGAAACAGGCAGGAGTTTTAACGCCGGGGGTTGCTTCATGATCCAGCTATGATGCAAGCTGCTCTTGAGATTCATGCACCACCTTAGGAGCGCCCCATATCCGATTTATCCCACAGTTAATCCTTCATTCCCCCAACCAGTGACTTAAGGGATCTAACCATAGAGCAGGTGGAGCTGCCAGTCCCAGCGATCACAGGCGGCACAGCCGGGGGGATTGGATAAAGGAGGGACCTTCCTGTTCCCAGCCACCCATTTCATCCTGCTGTCTGCGCCTAGCTGTGGGGAGCTCCCGGATCCCCATCGGAGACACCCTGAACCAACTGCTTTCCCCAGCTGGAGCGGTGAGTTGGGAAGGTGCAGGGAGAGGCAGCCCCCGGGGAGGGGCAGAAACCAGCAACAGAGGCGAGGCGTGGCTGGGATTGGAGTGAAAGGGGACCCGGAGCCTGGCCCCTTGCTGGGGATGGAGAGAGGGGACGATCCGGGCAGCGGTGGGTGGAGATACCCCGGCTCCCCAGCCTACCTGCTGAGCGCATGGGAATCCAGGCCCCCTGGGGTTGAGATCAGTGGGTGGCTGATGTCACCTGCCACCAACCAGGCCCAGCCGCACCTGGCTGGGGATGAGTCACCGTAGCGTTCTCCTTGCTGCCCTACAGACCTCGCAATCAGTTACTGCAGGCGGAAGAAATTCTTTGGTCTTATAAAACTCAAGAGTGATTGTTAAATGCGTTGCGGTAACGCCTAGCGGGCCCAACTGAGAGCAGGGCTGGATGGGCAGCCCCTGCCCCAAAGAGCCCTAAACAGACCACGGGGGGAGGGGAAATCGAGGCATGGCGGGGGGAGGGTGACTTGCCCAAGGTGAAGCAGGAGGTCAGTGGCAGGGAGGGGAATAGAGCCCGTATCTCCAGTGTCTTGGATGCTGGTTGTATGTGAGTGCAAAGCCCTGGCTGCTTGTAAGTGACCTGAAAAGGGCTTAAAATACATGGGCTGGTACTTCTTTATTTTAATTGCTCCGATCGTGCATAAAGGTGGCCCGAGGAACAGCAGGGCTGCATTCTCCGCTCTGCCGTTGGCCTGCTGATATTGCCCTTGGGCAACTCACTTCATTGCTCCCTGCCTCAGTTTCCCCACCTACCAATGGGGAATCTCTCTTTTGTAGAGTGCTTTGAAATCTACTGATGTAACGGGCGAAGTATTCTTATGGCAAGGGTACGCGGTAACCAGCGTGCTGTGTTCCTCTGAAAATCTGGCCCTTAGCGTTGGTGCCGATCCGTCTTGAAAATGAGTGTGACTTTCAGAAGGAATCGTTCACAGGTGCTGCGTTGAGCCGGCTAACTTTTTTTTATTTATTTATTTTATCATCAGAACTTTTAAAAAAAACTTTTTAGGACTGAAATGTAAATTTTCACTGCCAAAAATGAATTTTGGTCAAACATTTCTGGCTCTTCATTGTGAGAGAGGAGAGAAAGGAAGGAAAACAAAAAACCAGGAATTGGCCATTTTTTGGTAAAATATTTGGATTTTGAAAACTGAATTCCCTTCCCCGCAACCAGATTTCCCCCCTCCCCCCAAATATACAGCTTTTTAACCAAAAATATTGTCGGAAAGTTTGGAGGAAAAACCAGAAGTATTAGAAATCTCCTGCCCAAACCTTTTCCAACCGCCTCTGGTTCTGAGTCTGCTTGAGCCTACTTTTAAAAGCCTGACCTGAACCAAGAACGTTGAGTCATTTTTAAAACCGAACTGACCCAAACCTGATACTTCCCCCCCAAAAAACCTAGGTCAGCACTGCTGCCGCCTCATCCCTGGAGCTAGTGGGAGCTTCCCGTTCCTCGTGCCCAGCGCTCACCATCTGTCTGCGGTGGCAGCCAGCCCGGGGAGGGTAGTCCACACGCTCCCTCTGCAGTGCTCAGCAAAGTGGTGTCGGCCGGCAGGAGTAGGGCACACGGCCACTGCCGTGTCAACCCCACCAGCAGAAGGAGGTGACCAGAGATGACCTGACCTGACCCCAAGAGGGTAGGGTTGTTTTTAGAGACATCCTGAACCTGACACTTTTCCCATCAGGTTGAGTCAGGCTGCAGATCTCTAGCGCTCAGCGTTCGACTCCAACCTGAGACAGCGAGAGCTGCAGGTAACATCATGGCAACACTGAAACCTTCCCAGTCATTTCTGTATCGAGCCCATAAATCCTGGATCTTCGCAGGTTGTGTGTCTCAGAAAACAACTGCAGGGCAAATTTCTGCCCCAAAGTGCTAAGTACTAATGCTTCCAAAAATAAATAATTAAGAGTACTTTCTTTTTTCCTAGTGGGAAAAGTACCTTATCGTCCCTTCTCATCCCCTTCACAAATGCCTGAACTGGCTTTGCTAAACTGTTCCTAAAAAAATTAATTGGGCCTGGATGATTTCAGCTTAAAGGTCTGAGCAACTGGAAAATGGTGATTATCATGCAAACACATAAGCCTGGTCTACACAGTTTTTGTACCAATACAATTATTTCTGTCTATTTAAGGTACTTATCTGGTTCCCATTACTATTGTATCTGAGCAATATAATTACACCGATCGAATCCCAAGTGAGAATGCAGTTATAGGGGTATGGAACAGCTGCCATAGGAGAAGAGATTAATAAGATTTTGCACTCACATACAATCAGGATCCCAGGCAACGAAGATGCAGGCTCTATTCCTCTCCCTGCCACTGACAGAGATTAATAAGACTGGGACTTTTCAGCTTGGAAAAGAGATGACTAAGGGTGGATATGATAGAGGTCTGTAAAATCAAGACTGGTGTGGCGAAAGTGAATAAGGAAGTGTTATTTACTCCTCATAAACACAAGAACTAGGGGTCATCAAATGAAATTAATAGGCAGCAGGTTTAAAACAAACAAAAGGAAGTATTTTTTTTTTTTCACACAACGCACAGTCAACCTGTGGAACTCCTTGCCAGAGGATGTTGCGACAGCCAAGACTATAACAGGGTTCAAAAAAGATCTAGATAAGTTCATGGAGGATAGGTCCGCCAATGGCTATTAGCCAGGATGGGCAGGCATGGTGTGCCTAGCCTCTATTTGCCAGAAGCTGGGAATGGGCGCCAGGGGATGGATCACTTGATTTACCTGTTCTGTTCATTCCCTTTGGGGCACCTGGCATTGGCCACTGTCGGAAGACAGGATACTGGGCTAGATGGACCTTTGGTCTGACCCAGTATGGCCGTTCTTATGTTCTTATACAGGTATAAAGCTGTCTTATACAGGTATGACGTATTCCCCATCCCACATAGGAATAGCTGTACCTGTATAACTGCATCCACCCTAGGTAGGCTGTACCTCTTTAACAATACCGGCATAAAGCAGTAGAACTTTTGTGTGTGGACAAGTTAGATTTTCAGATGACCTCAGCGCCAGAGTAAGGAGCCAGTTTTACAAAAGAACTCAGTGCACACAGTGCTTAACTCTTCTGAAAATCTGATCTTTGTTTAGGAGCATAAAGTGAATCTGAGCATTTTGAAAATCAGGCTTTTGTCGCTAAAGTCTGGTCTACGCTTAAAAGTTATATTAGCATACCTACGAAAGAACCATACCCCGACCTACAGAGCTAAACCCCAAAAGTAGATGCAGCTCTGTCGGCAGAAGACTTGTCAGCTACTGTCATTCAGGGAGGTGGTGTTCCTACACTGTGGCAGAAAAACTTCCGTCGGGCCTAGTCTACACCTCAAAGTTAGGTCAGCCTAGCTAAATCTCTCAGGGATGTGGACAAAATTCACACCGCTGAGAGCCGTAGTTAAGCCGACCTAAGCCCTGGTGTAGATACTGCTAGGTGGATTGAAGAATTCTTCCCTAGACCTAACTTCTGCCTCTCGAGGGGATGGATTAACTACAATGATGGGACACACCTCTTCCATAGCTGTAGCAAGTGTCTATGCCACAGCAGCATAGCTGCAGCTATGCCCGTGTAGTGCTTGTAGTGTAGACACAACCTCAGTGTAGGCTCCATAATGTAGACCGAGCCTAACTCAGCATATGTGCAACCTGATTTTAAGGTGGGAGGAGGCTGAGAAGCACCACAACCCAGAAAGTTGCAACCCAACACCCCAATTGCTTTCACTGTCTTAAATTTCTCCGTAGTGATTTAAGGTAAGGGTGCTAGACACCTGACCCGTGGGCTGGGCCAGGCTAGCCTGATGTGTTTATGCTCATGTGAGACATGTTACGGATCTCAGCTTTTGTGTTAACCACAAACATTAAGTTTCTAGCTCTCATGAGTGTGAAGATACACTTTGTTCAAGATCAGAAATTTAACTCAATGTAGCGATGTCTGCAGACAGCCTGAAACATTGGCTCTGAAGAGTGTGACCCTCCCATCTTCCATTCATAACATTTGGGTGTTAACACTGGTGCCTAATGATGACTCATTTAAAATGTCAACGTTAACACTTCATTGCTGAGTATTCGACCAGATGGGATGTGAAAGGGGGGTGGGGTTAAACCTCGAGGGAGGATGGAGATTTGCTGCAGAAAGGAAGATCCAGAGGGAAGAAAGCAGTGAGACAGGGAAAGGAGAGAAAGAAAAAGAGGAAGGAGGATGGAGAAGGAAGAGAAGCAAAAGGTAGAAAAGGTAGAAAGCAGAGGGAGCAGATTTCCCCCACTCATGTGACTGTAAAACACTGAGCACTTTAGTGACCGCTGAGTTGGGCCATATCACAAGCTTTGTGCAAACGTCCCATGGGTGTCACGGGGAGGTAGATGCAGAGCTTTTGTTCTCCCTGTCTCATGACACATAAACAAGGGGACACTTAATAACATGAAAGATGGATGGCTTCCGGACTAAGCAGAGGAAATACTTTCCCCACATGCCACCTCGTTAGCCTGCAGAACTCATCGCCACAAGAAATTAGCAAGGTGCCAAAAGGGCTGGAACATTTCTGTGACTAAGAAGAGTTGACTGTTGAAATTGTGGAGAGGATATTAAACCCAGAGCTTAATTAGAGGCCAGGAAGAGACCTAAAATTGGGGGGCAGATTATCCCACATACACCTTCCTCTGGGGCATCTGGCACCGGCCACTGTCCGAGATTAGGACACTGGGCTAGATGGTCTGATTCAGCCTGGCAATTCCTAGGGAGCTGGGCTGGGGTTGAGAGGCGGGTGAATCGATCTATACGTCCAGGCCCATAACTTAGGGAGGGAGATTTTTTTTCAAAGGCGTCAAGAGGAGTTGGGGAGCGATTGGTGGGAGCTGGGGAACCTGGGCGTTGGGGGCAGGGGGTTGTTG